AGTACCATCTGAACAAAACAATTCACTAAAAAGAATAGGACTTCAGTTACAAATAGGACTGTTTAGGACAAAGCAATTCAGTAGAATAAATTGACTTACGAATACTCATCGCTACATATGAGACAGAGAGCCGACAGAATCTGTTTTGTTATTCTTTATTATTTGCATAATTTCCTATCAGTGTTTTGTAGAACTGTGCAATGTTCATAAATACAGTTTAAATTAAAATCTGTTTTTGTTATTGATAAGGCAGTTATCATTTGGCACACAAAATATATAACAAAGGTTCTGTGCTGTTGTTATCTGTGTGCATTGCATAGGTTTGTGACTGTCGTATTGAAGCCCGGTGGCATCTCTAGCAGTGACTGTGATGTGCTCGCTGTTCATGCTCTACAAACTCCATCCAGCTCCTGCTCATGAAAAAAAACTTCCTCTCTCTCCACCTCAGCCTCCCAAAATCACACTGCTATCCGGTCCATGAACTTCCGTCTGCTCGCCACCAGAGGTCACTCTTCCACTACTATGGACTCTTGCACCACACCACTGTTGCACTTCACCCGGACTACAGTTCCCATCATCCACTGTACTGATTACACACACACAGTTGATTGCACACAGCTGTAATCAATCACACATTCCCTATATAACACTCACTCTGATCCCTTCCCACTGCCGAGTATTGTTTAGCGCTTATCGCTCATCGTGTGATAGCTACTTTACGGAGCCTTTTCCCCTGTGTTAGTTCCTAGTTCCTAGTTCTAGTCTTAGTCTAGTCTCGCCGTGTTTTCTGATTTCCTGGTACCTGATTTTTGCCTGTTTATCTTAAGTTAACCCTTTGCCTGATGTTTAGGACTGTGTTTGCACCTCGCCTGGACTCTAGCTCGTGTTATTGGATTACCCCTCATGTCAAGCCCTCTGGATATTGTTAGCCGCTTATCGACCACGCCCGTTTTGGATTACTCTTCTGTCTTGCCCTCAATATACCTGTTTGCCATTGTCTGACCCATGCCTGTTTTATGACCACGTCTCTGTCTCCTATTAAAGCTTTGCAAATGGATCCGCAAGTCTCATGTCTCGTTCGCCCCGTAACAAATACGCACACCTTTTTCTAATTTTTATCACAGAATAAGGCAGGAAATATATTATATAGTTTCTATACTAAATGATATATCAATCAGTACTGTCTGCATTATTCATATAGTTTAGGCTATTACCTGGAGATAACTTGAAAAACACACATAAACCATATATTTTCGCAATCGTGTGTTTATTGTCTTCACGTTTCATCAGTAAAAAGGTTTCTGCTTTTTATTCAGCTCAGCTACAGAGATAACTGGATGAGCTTTTGTCCATATTAGGGATTTCCTGCACGTCATCATAAGTTATTACTTCTATGAGACTGTTTTGGACTTTCTGCACGAGAGCACCCTCTTGGAGAGCACCTTGGATAAAAACTGCAATGGTTCAGATGAGGATGATGATGTTGTTCATTGTTGTTGTTTTGTCTTGTGTGATGATGAAGATTGTGTTCTGTTCTGCTCTCAGTCATGAAGAGTTAAACTCACAGCACTATAAACACTCTCAGAGTACTGAAGCATGTGCTGACAATGCGAAGAAGTGGGCAGGATTTACAACAGCTTGAGCTGCTTACATGTATCTCTGCTTTGCTGCTATCTTATGTACACTACATAATGGAAGACGCACCCTGTGCGAACAGCCAGTGTGCATTTACTAATAAATTGTACCGTATATAGAGATGAGTTTAGTATGTGCAAAATAATGATGCATCATCCAATTTATCATTAGATGAAACCAACAGAAAAGTTCAATACCAAATTTATTTTACAAAATTTAGAATATAATGTAAACAACAGCAACAACATTAAAATAGTTCTGGTTCCTCAATGTTAGAATTCACAGACAAGATAAATATTTTGATTCAATATTAGACATCAATGTTGAGTCAACATTGAAACAATGACATGCTGCTATCTGCGAAATCTTTTCATGTGGCCTTTTTTTCCATCACTGTATAAAAATCATCAAAATCATTTCATGTGAGTTTAGTTTGAAGCTGCATTTTTCCCCCCTGTGCATCTTAATAACTGAACTGTGTATAAAGTATAATTATAAGAAACTCCATGATAAAAGAGGTCAAAGGTCACCTCAGATCAGCGGTGAGGCCAGAAATCTCCAAGGAGATGAACTTTGGTGAAACAGGGTGGACCTCTATTCTGACTATTTTTAAAGCTATTTTTAAACTGTATCTCTTTCGAAAATGTAGTACCATCTGAACAAAACAATTCACTAAAAAGAATAGGACTTCAGTTACAAATAGGACTGTTTAGGACAAAGCAATTCAGTAGAATAAATTGACTTACGAATACTCATCGCTACATATGAGACAGAGAGCCGACAGAATCTGTTTTGTTATTCTTTATTATTTGCATAATTTCCTATCAGTGTTTTGTAGAACTGTGCAATGTTCATAAATACAGTTTAAATTAAAATCTGTTTTTGTTATTGATAAGGCAGTTATCATTTGGCGCACAAAATATATAACAAAGGTTCTGTGCTGTTGTTATCTGTGTGCATTGCATAGGTTTGTGACCGTCGTATTGAAGCCCGGTGGCATCTCTAGCAGTGACTGTGATGTGCTCGCTGTTCATGCTCTACAAACTCCATCCAGCTCCTGCTCATGAAAAAAAACTTCCTCTCTCTCCACCTCAGCCTCCCAAAATCACACTGCTGGTGTTAACAAAATACTGGACTAGACTTTCAAACCTTTTCTTTCATGATTTCATGCAGGTCTCCATTACAATGTTATATACAGTAGTGCTTCCAGATCTATACTGCTACTGCATCGCTGCAACACAAAGATGAGAGATGAGCAGAAGTCTTGTGTAATGTGAGCAGCAGTGATTCATGTAGTCATAGAGTTGTGTGATGAAGGCAAGGCTTAATTTGGACTTTGAGGCCATTCCCAGAACTTTAACGATGGCAAAGTGTCCTGATGGAACAAAACATCCTCAAACCATCACATCTCAACTGTGCTGGACTGCTGGGATGAGGTTCTTCTTATGCATGGAAGTGTTTGGTTTCTGCTAAACATAACAGGAAGTCTTGAGGAACATCCAGGTTCTTCTTATCAAATGTGACGCATCAAATGTGTTTTTGATCTTATAGCCTGACTCCATGCTGCTGCACAGGCACCATATATGTGTTTTGATTCTTTGTATTTTAATTTTTAAATATTGTAAATGTTAATTCAGTTTTTGACTGCAACTCTGTGGACAATGGATGACATTTTGGGATGTTGAGTATCAAGCCTTTATTCTGTTCAGCCTCTATAGTGGTTAAACTAACAGCTACACAAGCCAAAGACCACTTTGTACAAGCCAGAGAAAACTTTATTTTAATCCACAATTAACCAATTATTAAATATGACATTTGCCTGAATAAACTCCTAATTTGCTGTTTATTAATAGTTATGGGATAAAGGGATCTAAAATATGGTCATGCAGAAAATGTCATGACTATGTGCTTTATGAGTACCAATGAACAGTCAATATGCTAATAACATGAATGCTAAATAATAGTGAGAATTGTCCCTTAAAAGTGTTACAATATTTTTATTTTAAAATATAATAAATGTATTTAATATAATTAAATAATTCAGTTTTTGGCTGCAATGCTGTGGACAGTGGATGATTTTTTGGGATGTGAAAAAAAAGGCTTCATAGTGATTAACCAAACCCGTACAGATTCCTATTTTAGATCCTCTTGTGCTCAGAATTTTGTCAGACCGTTGTTGTATGTTGTGCAACGCTTCGCTCGTGACCGTCTTGCCGTGTTGTGTCTTTTCAGCCCTGAGTGCTGTTTTGTTTTTGATTTTGAACTTCTCCTTCTCATCCTGCCAGTCATTATCTGTTCTGCTACCTGCCCTGGCTATATCCAGCTGTCGAGATTCTGAGACATCGCCATAGCCCCTCTATGCACGCTCAACGCTCTCATCGGGGAGCTCAGTGAGTCCTCAACGCTGCGTCACGAACTACGCTCTGGTCAGTGCAACTTTGATGCTGCGTCACGGATGACGCTAGGATCGGTCCCTGCTGAGAGGATCTTTCCTG